TGTGGAGCTCTTACTTAAACTCTGTTGAATAAGTTGAATTACAATTGCTTGGTGACTGAGAACATAGGTTGTTGAGTTTCAAGAGAATTCATTGTCTGAACCTTAACATGTGAACTGGTTGCCACTTTAACATGAGAAGTGCTATAAGAAAGAATTGTTGTTATGATGCTAGGAAAAGTGATTGAAATTATCATTGATCAAACTTGTCCACTTTGCTAGCACTCACACTTCATAAATTATTTCTTTTATCATTTACCTACTCGAGGACGAGTAGGAATTAAGCTTGGGGATGCTGACACGTCTCCAACGTATCTATAATTTATGAAGTATTCATGCTGTTATTTTATCATTCTTGGATGTTTTACAATAATTTTATAGCAACTTTATAACTTTTTTGGGACTAACCTATTGACCCAGTGCCATGTGCCAGTTGTTGTTTTTGCTTGTTTTTTACATCGCATGAAATCAATATCAAACAGAGTCCAAACACCGCAAAACTTTTTGGAGAATTTTTATGGACCAGAAAACACCCAATGGGCCAGAGCTGCACCTAGGGGTGCCCCGGGGGCACAACTCACCAGGGCGCGCCTGGCCCCCCTAGGCGCGCCTTGGTGGGTTGTGCTCACCTCGGTGGCCTCCCGTACCCCTTCTTTGCACTATAAATTCTCAAATATTTTGAAACCCTTCGGGGTTAACCTAGATTAGAAGTTCCGCCGTTGCAAGGCTCTGTAGCCACCGAAAACCAATCTAGACCCTTTCTGGCACCCTGCCGGAGGGGGGAATCATCTCCGATGGCCATCTTCATCATCCCGGTGGCCACCATGATGAGGAGGGAGTAGTCCACCCTCGAGGCTGAGGGTTTGTACCAGTAGCTATGCGTTTAATATCTCTCTCTCTCTCTCTCTCTCTCTCTCTCTCGTGTTCTTGAGATTTCACAATCTTGATGTTTCACGGGCTTTGTTAATATAGTCGGATCATATGGTGTTTTCCCCTCTCTATCTTGTTGTGATAAATTGAGTTTTTCCCTTTGAGATTTCGTTGTTATTGGATTGAATACTTTTATGGATTTGAGAGCACTTGATATATGTCTTGCATATGAATACTCGTGGTGACAATGGGGAATCGTATTGATTCACTTGCTATATGTTTTGACACTCAACTCGCGGATTCCCGAGGTGACATTGGGGTAATCTACACATAGGGGTTGATGCATGTTCTTATCTTTGTTTCTCTGGTAGAAATCTTGGGGCACTCTTTGAGGTTCTTTGTGTTGGATTGAGTATTATGAATCTAAAATTATTTGGTGTTATTTTAGTATGAACTCTTGGATAGATCGATCGGAAAGAATAGCTTCGAGGTGTTTTCGTACCCTACAAATGATTTCTTCGTATGTTCTCCGCTAGACAGGAACTTTCGAGTGATTCTTCATCGCACTTTGAGGGCTGGTTATATTATCCAATTATATTAGCATTGCTGAGAGATTGCACTAGCGAAAGTACAGACCCTAGGCCTCATTTTCAAGCATTGCAATACCGTTTTTGTGCATGTTTACTATTTGCTACCTTGATGTTTCTATTTATTCATATTATAAAAATATATTTCTACCATCAATATTACACTTTTATCACCATCTCTTCGCCGAACTAGTGCACATATACAATTTGCCATTGTATTAGGTGAATTGGGGGCACAAAAGATTTCTTGTATTTGATTGCAGGGTTGTTTGAGAAAGACCATCTTCATCCTACGCCTCCCACGGATTGATAAACCTTAGGTCATCCACTTGAGGGAAAATTGCTACTGTCCTACAAAACTCTGCGCTTGGAGGCCCAACACGAGTCTACAAGAATAAAGTTGTGTAGTAGACATCACCTTACACAGATAGGTATTTCGCATCATGTATCATGCCCACATGCACACCAGCAAAATGGGTCCGCCGAGCGTAAACATAGGCATATAGTTGAGGTTGGCTTAGCAATTCTTGCTTCTGCATCCATGCCACTTAAATTTTGGGATGAAGCGTTTCTTACAGCCATTCATCTTATCAATATGTGGCCTAGTCGTGTTATTTCTCATGAAACACCCATTGAACGTCTCTTGCATGTCACACCAAATTACACCACCCTTAGAGTATTTGGTTGTGCCTGTTGGCCTTATCTTCGTCTCTATAACACTCGAAAACTCATGTTTCGTTCTAAGCAATGTGTCTTTCTTGGATATAGTGCTCAACACAAGGGTGTTAAGTGTCTTGATGTTTCTTCTACATATCATGTGATGTTGTTTTCGATGAAACACAATTCCCCTTTGCAAAGCTTCATCCCAACGTCAGCGCCCTCATTCGAAAAGAGATCCTTCTTTTTCCTTTCCATCTCTCCGACGTTGATCGTGTGGGTGATGATAATGTTGATGCTAACATATTGACTAATATATCTCCTATTATTGTACCCGAGTTTGATAATAAAGGAAGCAACCACACAGAAAATGGTGCATCAACTAGTGAAAATGCATCACACAATTCAGTTCAAGAGGTTTCTGTTGCAGAGACAGGATGTCCCTTGGGATCGGCACGTCTGACTGCCACAGACCCGACCGAACCCTCCTTGGGATCCGCGACCCGTTAGCTGGACAATGACCAACCGCCCTCCCCCGCTCCGCGCCTCTCCCCGTCCGCCACGCCGGCTTGCGACTGGGCCTGCCGAGCCAGGTGAGGCGGCCCAATCCATGCCTCTCAACTAGGCAACCGTGCGCTATGCGCCAGCCCCGCTTGTATACGCTAGGCGGGCGCTGCGGCCCGTGCCTGCTGCGGGATCTTCTGCGGCGCTCTCTTCGTCTACACCCACCTTACCAGCCATAGAAGATCCGCGTGGTTTGAGCGGGCTCAATCTCTCGGGATCGGCTGGATCCTCTGCTCTGGCCGGTGCGCTAGCGCTAGGATCCTCTGTGCATGCGTCTTTGACGCCAACTCCACCGCGTACACGTCTCCAATCAGGAAAAAATCAACCAGTGAATTATAAAGTTAAATACAATTTAGCTGCTTCTGTTGCTTCCACAGGTGAACCTCGTACTGTTCATGAGGCCCTTGCCGATCCCAAGTGGAAACAGGCCATGGATGATGACTTTCACGCTCTCCAGAAAAATAAAACGTGGCACCTCGTTCCTTCACACCCTGGTAAAAATGTTATTGATTGCAAATGGGTGTTTCGCATCAAACGAAGGTCAGATGGCACTATCGATCGTTACAAAGCACGTCTTCTTGCAAAAGGGTTCAAGCAAAGGTATGGTTTGGATTATGAGGATACGTTCAATCCTGTTGTTAAAGCTGCCACCATTCGTCTTGTTTTGTCCATAGGCTGGAGTCTTCGACAGCTAGATGTGTAGAATGCGTCTCTTCATGGTGTTCTGGAAGAGGAAGTGTATATGAAGCAACCTCATGGGTTTGAGGACAAGAATAATCCCTTTCATATATGCAGGTTTGATAAATCTCTCTATGGACTGAAGCAAGCTACTCGAGCATGGTACTCTCGTTTGAACATGAAGTTGCAAGCCCTTGGTTTTGTTCCCTTCAAGTTTGATACATCTTTGTTCATTTACAATAAGTCCAACACGATCATTTTTGTGCTTATTTATGTTGGTGATATCATTGTTACAAGTTCCTCTCCTGAAGCAGTCAAGGCTCTTTTGCAAGACTTGAACTCAGATTTTGCTCTTAAGGATCTAGGGGACTTGCACTTCTTCCTTGGGATTAAGGTCAAACGAAACAATGCAGGTGGTCTTCATCTTTCTCAAGAGAAATACGCAACTGATCTTTTGAGCAAGGCAGGGTTGCGAGGTTGTAAGCCCTCTCCAACACCACTCTCTAGCTCTGAATTTTTTTCTCTTGTAGAGGGTGACCCCTTGAGTCAAGAGGATGGCACCAAATACATAAGTTTGGTAGGAACACTCCAGTACTTGACACTTACCAGACCTGATATTTCCTTTGCAGTCAATAAAGTGTGTCAGTTTCTTCATGCACCTACTACAGCTCATTTGACTGCTGCCAAACGCATACTGAGGTATATTAAGAATACTTTGAGTATTGGCCTGACTTTCAGCAAGTCATCATCTACCCTTGTTAGTGCCTTCTCTGACTCTGACTGGGCAGGGTGCTTGGATGATAGAAGGTCAACAGGTGGCTTCACCATTTTCTTTGGGCCCAATTTGATCTCATGGTGTGCAAAGAAACAACCAACAATATCACGGTCAAGTACTAAGGCAGAATACAAAGCATTGGCAAATGCAACAGCAGAAATTATTTGGGTAAAGTCAATAGTCAAGGAACTTGGAATATGTTACACACCAACTCCTTGTCTTCGGTGTGACAATCTTGGTGCCACATATCTCTGTGCCAATCCTGTGTTTCATGCAAGTACTAAACACATTGAAATTGACTATCACTTTGTCAGAGAAAGAGTTGCTAGAAAAGAGTTGGAGATTCGGTTTGTTTCCTCAAAAGAACAAGTTGCAGATGGCTTTACAAAAGCTTTGTCCACAAGACCGTTTGAAGAGTTTAAACATAATCTAGACTTGAGGAGTTTAGATTAAGGGAGGATGTTAAAGTATATGTTGGTTCGGTCATGAGGTGGACCGACCAGACTCTCCTTGATGTTCACGATAGGAATAGAGTTACTGGGGAGATCTTCTTGTTTAAATCTTTCCCAACCTCTTATCCTTTCTCCCTGTTAACCTCCCGTTGTAATCGTCTCTGGTTGTTGGGTTGTGCGCCACATCCTATAAACCCTACGAGGAACTCCTCCTCGACAGATCAATATAAACCATGCGGGCTCCTTGTCTAGGGGTTGAGACGCTTTACCCATTGCTTAACAATGTTACATACAAAATACAGGTAGTACTTAATCACCTCTATCCTGGTTCAAGGGCGCCTTAAGCGTTGCGGGTGCGGGACCCATGAGTAATCAACATCTGAGTTATAATCCAAAACTTCTAGAATAATAACTGAAAAGCTAGTTTCTATCATACTGCTCTGGCACGGCGAGGAAGGGTTTGAACGTGAGGACAAGTCCAAGGAGCTCTATCATGTTCAGCAGAAAGAACACCATATGATCACCTGTATGAGACGAAAGTGGAGAAAAATTATACAGCAGTAAAAACCTCGCAAGATCTATCAAGTCTCAACTAGTTAAAATGTTAAAAATAATATCTAAAGCAGACCGAGGATCGAAGAATAGCTGCATTTGGCAATAAAATGTATGTTATGTGAAATTTCCTCAAAAAAGGATAACAATGTTTACCTGGAAGGATGAAAGTATGTTGGCGTTTCTGCACCCATGAGAACCTGCATACATTAAAGACATGTGAACTTCTGAGCTTTAAATACATTCAGTTTAAATGTGGTTGCCAAAGTACTAGCAGTGTGAGCTAGTATTAAAGTTTAATTTGCCTTGTAACATATAAAATATTTTTTAGAAGCAATGAGGAACAAAGAATACTCACACAATGCCGGCGCCTGCAGGAGCAACTGCCTTGAAAAGGGACATTGCAGTCATGGCTAATCCATTGGCTGCTCCTCTTTGGTCCTGAGACTGTTAGTAATTGCATGGTCATTAGTGCGACAGATATCTAATATAAAATGCATTGAATCGAGATTAATCTATGGTTTCCATACCACAGCGTTGTTTTGAAGGATGAAGATGCTTGTAATGATGGTAGCCTGTTATAGTAATCATGAGGAACATTATTAACATGAGATAACTTTTAGTGACCGCCGGACAAATAATACACATTATCTGGTTTTCTCATCTTAAAATAAAAAATGTTACAAGCCACAAACATGTACTACTCGTAAGAGGCGACCAAGCACTAATGTAGAATTTTCACATTTATATAGTTGCCATCTACTCAGTCAATTCTGAAACTTAATGTAGTAATAAGGATTTTGAAGTGAGATAAAAGGAATACTCACAGAAATATTATTTTTTAAGACTGATGCAATAGTCAGAATGATTGATAATGCAGCTCCTGAGAGGTATGTCATATAGGGATAGGTGAATAGAATAGGTATGCACAGAGCCTGCAAGGTCAATCACAATAGTCAATATATGCAGTCAGAGGATAGGAGAACTTCAGCAATTAAACAATAGAAGTTTTTTACTCACGGCTGCGATTTGACAACATTTGATCGGTCCAAGAACTTTATTGATGCGTGGGTATATGAACATTTGATACACAAGCAAACTGCCACCTGAAATGGACGTACGATACTGACAGTGTTGTTATCACAGAAGGCTGGCTCTACTGAAAAGGAAAGTTAATACCAAGGAATATGCTTGAGGAAAAGAACTTAAAGATAGATGCTACTAAGTGTGTACTATGTTAGTGAAATATGGTTGATAATGCATCCAATTTTAATGTACTTCGAGCCCCTTGCCATTGCGGCACTGCCACATCAGAGATTGTATGTTTTCGACGGCTCTTGGGTTGCTTCGTGTTCCATGTGATGTTTCACATCTCTCCTTTGTGATAGCAATGATTCTATTCAGATTGCCAATGATCCAGTTAAGCATGAGCTAGCCAAGCATATTGGCATGGAAGCATTGTTCATGCACTCTCACTGCCAACAGTCAACTATTCGTTTCATTGTTTGCAATATGTCCCAACCAACATAGATTCAACTGCCGGATTTCTTCACCAAGCCCCAAACTAGAGAACAATATCGGCTTCATGTTCTCAAACTCAATGTTTCAGATCCACCTAGAGCTTGATGGGGGTGTTAAGAGTATTACTCTTGTATATCATGTATACGTTAGTTTTAGGCGCAGAGTAACCCATGAGGCCTATGATGTATCTATCTCTCTATCTCTCACTACAATAGAGAAAATCGATTTGTCCATTTCCTATTTTGTCTAACGGTTAAAGCTCACGTTGGGCCCAAATTATTATACTTTTAATTGAGTTGATTACTCTCGGCTGCTAGAACATTTGAACAAACGATGAGAAGATTCCATCATTAACACAGATGGAAATGGCTACCATTAGCAGACTTTTTTCGAAAAGGTGGTTGAACTCCTAGCCTCTGCATCAAGCAATGCACACAGCCATATTATTATAAGCGAGGTTGAACCTAAGATGGAAATGACTACCATTTGCAGACTTGAAAGGAAGAATTCCTAAATAAAGAGTTGACCATGTCCTAAATAAAGGTGAAAACTGAAAAGCAAAATAAAGATACGCGATTATTTTGTACTTTAGTTACTGAATATTAATATACACCACAGTGGAGTTCTTCCATACTGTTCCCATAAGAAAATAGATACTTGTCAAAGCACAAACAAAATAATACCTGTTATTCCGAGCGTTTGGCCCACATCTTGGGACCATAAACCTAGTCCACCATACTTCTTGTCACTTTCAGCCCATAGAGAGAACACCTGAAGTTGATTTCAAATACCATGGTTTCTCAAAAACAAGCTGGAGTTTATTTGAAATAGGTTGTGTAATAGCTATCAGAAAACTAGAAAAAAAAACTGTGTTAGCAACCAAATATATGATGGTACGAGAAATCCAAGTCATATGTTAGCACAGAGGTTGAACAAGTAAAATACTCTAGAGCGCATGTATGAATTGGAGCAACTATACACTCAAATTCTCTCTTATGATTGTCCCAAGTAATTACCATCATCTACACTAACATTGAACTACTAATACATTCTTTCTGAAGTTACAAGTTACTTTGTGGTAAGCAAGTTTTTAATGTTAGGGCATCTCTAACTGTAAAAAACATTAATTTGCCGTTGCAAGTTGTATGTTTTATTGTACTTAAGATCATACCTATGGTGCATATTACACTCAAAAAATTGTGTTAAACATCAAATATCACGTCTCTTATAAAATTGTTCAAGGGCTCAGCTCAGTGTAAACCAAGAAAAAGTTAACATTTGACATTCACAGATATAGCTACCGTACACACATAGATATACTACAGAGAGCACATTGATTCTGCTCCTACTAATTATTCTCGTTTTCTACCATTCACCACAAGTTTATTTAAAGCACAAAAGGTTGTATGCTTTTCTCTTGGAAAACTTCAATTCCATGAACTAAATAAATAGAAAATAATACCTCTGTATAAGCCATGTCATGATAGGAGAAGATACAATAAACAATTATGGAAGACATCAATGGCCAATTCTTGAATAAGCTCTTCTTGGTATCTACACTGTCACTTTCTTCGACCTTTTCTTGCGGATCAATCAGATGGGCCTCCAAAGCATCAACACTTTGTTTGCCATTTTCACTGGCCTTATGCTTGTGTAATGTTTCCTGAAATATGTCTCAAGATATATTACAACAAACGGGGGAATAATCAACATTAACTACGAAGAGCATCATCTTTTCTTCAGTATATGGAAAGTTAAGGTTCCCTTGCGTATTATAATTTTTATGTGGTTTGTTCACAAGCAAGTGATCCTCACCAAAGATAATTTACTAAAGCGACGTTGAGTAGGCAGTGCACGATGTTGTTTTTGTGATCATGATGAAACAATACAACACCTATTCACAGATTGCCCTCTCGCGAAATTACTTTGGCGAACGATTCATATAGCCTTTAACATTATTCCTCCAGTTAGCATTGAATCGTTATTTGGGACGTGGTTAGCTGGAGTAGACCATATTACTGCGTCTCGTATTCGGATTGAAATATGGGCGCTTATTTGGGCTACATGAAACTGTAGGAACGACATGATTTTTAACAGACAACACATCTTAAAGTTTCTGTAGGTCATTTTCAGGGCTACGGATCCGTACGTGGTCCTTACTCACACCTACAAACTCCAGGGAGCCTTCGGTTACTGGGTGCAACCAGTGGGAGATGGTAGCACGGGCTATATTCAACCGGCTTGGATGGGGGTCTCATAATAGGATAGGAGTTTAGGGATCTTGTCCTATTATACATACCGGTTGTGGTATTGAGTTCTATTTTTCTTTTTTGCTCCGCTTGCGAGCTGTAATGAATCTAAGACCTTGTGCTTTTTTGAGACTTTTAACAAGATGGTGCATGCATCGCTTAGATGCAGAGGCCGGGGGCAAGCCTCCTTTTCCAAAAAAAATATTTTTTCTACAGTATCATGTCAGATTCAATGTACTTTTTAGTCCTGCCACTAGTTACTGAAAGGAAAGAACAGAAAAGAGTCGCGGACTTGGTTGTAGAACCACATTCAGAAAATGTTGAAGGTCAATTATATTATATATGGCCTTTGAACAAGACATTTGAAAATATTTGGTTCTGGGATTGCCAAGAAAAGTATGTGAAGAAGGTACATCAAGACTTATAAATATAGAATATCTGTGTTCATGCCGACAATATAAGGTTTCCTGCAGGCCACATGAAGTGGCGAAAACATAGCAAATGTAATTACGAAGGTGCAATTAGACTGACTGCATAACCAAGGAAGCTAACACCATTTGAATATCACATACCGGCATCCATAGACAGCCTGTCAGAACAACGGCAGCAAAGACTGATGTGCATAAGCATGGTAAGAAGTACGGGAACCTGACAAGTTTCACCAAAAGTAAGTATCTGCAGAACAATTATCTAGGATAATCTAATTTAGCAACACAAAAGGATACCTTCCAAAGAGTGAGTCAGGCGAAAAGATATTTGGATATTTTTCTGCAGGCTGCCATAAAAACAACCAGGTTAGTATACTAATAGGATGACAGTTAAGTATATCATGAAGTTAAATTTTCTATTTCATACCAGTGCAAGGTAGCCTCCAAGAGCAGGACCAATGATGAGACCTATTGCCCATGATGTGCTAACCTGAATTGCAATAAAGTGACAGAAAAACTAAAAGTACTGAAAGTAGATATGTTATAACTTATAAGTGCATGGGTACACATGACTATCTTACAAGTGATAGTGCTAGAGCTTCATGTTCGGGTCGGCAAACTTCAATAGAATAAGCCTGCAAAAATCAGGCACAAATTCGTAAGGCATACACAATCTGACATAAAAAGTGTTTGAAATTCGACATACCTTTATGGGTCCGAGTAAGCCATTCAAAGCACCCATGAGAAACCTTGTAGCTATCGCCATCCAATAGGTGACACTAAGCCCAAACAAAGTATTAAATACTACCCTGAGATGTTAACAAGAATCAACTTAGAGACCCAACTAATAAAATAGGAGTTGAAATAGAGGAGTAAATAAGAGGCTAAATGTTACAAACACGGAGAAAACGCTGAACAGAATAACTGGTTTTCTGCCAATACGGTCTGCTGCTATTCCCCAAATAGTTGCAGTCAAAAATCTTCCGAACATAAAAGAAGCGCCTGAAATTTTCCAATGAAAACAAAAACTGTCACATTTAGTAATCATGCAGTTTAATCATTGAATCATGCGGCTCAAGTAATTAATCATCCAATCAGAACTTGTTAAGAGAATTCACCTACAAACCCAGCATAGAACCCAATGTCTTCTGTTCTTTTTGCAACATGCAAGTCTCTTATCTGTAAAGAAGTAGGAGATAGTATGAAAAATATTATTATTTAGCAACAGATACATCAGAGATGGGTATATGCATGGATAAGAAAATATAAGTGAAACAAAGTGAAATGTTCAAAAAAAAAGCAAGAGTGCTATTTCTTCCTAAACAGTGGCCATGTAAGTATCAAACCAAAACAAGTTGGATAATAATACATACCATGAAGTACAAGTAGGGGAACAGTGAAGATATTGGTAAAGCTGGAAAAGCCAGAGGAAATATTAGAACCAGAAATTATGTCCACAAAGAACAGTACAATCACGTAGATGGTTACGTTTATTCCTTTTTTCCACAAAGGACATCTCATTCCCTATGATTTTTCTACCCTATGAACCAAAGAAAATTCATTGGAATGAGATGACATGTATTCAAATCCTATGAATAGACATAGGAAAGAAGATGTCCTTTGGTTCACATCATAGGATTTTCCATTGAGTCTAGGCTAATGTTTATTTTCCTACGAAATCTGAAGGACATGAAGAATTCCTCCATAGGTTATTCCTACATAAAAACCAAAGGACTCTAAAGAAATGTTTCCTATAAAAATCCTATCCTATGAAACTCTTACAAAATTCCTCCAAACCAAAGGAGGCCTAACATAGTTAGTTCTGCAATGTTGACTTTGAACTACTACTTGATAGACATATTCCATGGTAGTCAATAAAATTCAGGTAAAAACAGTTAAGCAAAACCGAACCATTCCAGTAGTGTAAAAGACCTCATACAGTTTTTCATTATTACGGGCTTGTTTGGTTGGAGGCCTAGCAAAGATTTACCTGGCCTGAACGGTGCTTGAGAACAATCTGGATGTTTTTTTAACACAGTACAAACGCCAGAAATCCTGAAATAAATTCAAAAATAATGCGAGCACCAGGACTTAAACCCTGGTGGGCTAGGGATACCACTGCCCCTCTAACCATCCAACCACAGATTGGTTCGTACTTCTTATTTGTTGTTGTCTGATAAAGTTACATGTAATCTTTTTTGTAGACTGACAAAGCAATTAATTGCTAGCCAGGCTCAGGACATGTGTCAAACACACCAACTCGGGCTAGCCTGACCAAGCATCATTTTTCACTTTCCCAGGCTGAAGCCAGGCTCCTTTTTTACCCAGGCGTGGAGTCGTGGATTCCAACCAAACTAGCTCAACATATTTTCACATATAGGGAACAGGTGGTACTGACGAACTAGGGTATTCCTCCCGCGCCATTGTTGGCAAACAAGTATCCAACCAACCGATTCATCCTCACCATCCTCACTAACCACGCCAGGACCGAGATCAATGGCAGCCCAATGCCACCTTTATCCGCCCGGATTGTTCCTCAAGAACCGGACCCTACCGAACGGAATGGTAAAATGCGGAAGCGAAATGGACTTCACTCTGTTAACCACCCAGGTCCGTGGAATTTCCCCCTGCGTGCGCAGACATTGTCCATGAAGAGGACAAGGAGGAGGAAGGAAGCCAACGAATTAGTGAGCATCTGAAATCGACCGCGTCGTTCCAAGCGGAAACCTTCTAGGCGGCACTGCATCTTTGTTGGGATACCAAATATAGCGCCAACTCAAACCGCTGCCATGGAAGCCAACGCAGATGACATCAAAGTGAGAAACGCTGCCATGGCAGCCACTAGGACAAACCGTGAAGGGAGGTGCGTCATCTGAAGGCCGTCTCGGCTGGTGCAACCCATTAGGAAATACAGGGGTCCAACTGGGTCAACTACGCCAAGACTCGGGCTAACACGTCATTTGCAACTACTTAAGGAGAAGAGGAGTGAACGGAAAAGGCACTAGTGGATCAGGCTTGGATTGCAACGGCTTTTCTCTTTTATTTTCCTTTCTCCTTTCTCAAGAACTACCTACCAAATCATGTGATCCGTATGAACCGTAGAAAGTGTATCTATGAGTGAATAGATCAAGTGGTACATAACCTCGTGGTATCAGAGACCACTTACCACCCTTCCTCTCCTCCCTAGATCATCATGGACACCTAATGAGTCCAATTTATGTGATAATTTTGCTAGATATTTTGTGCCTACATGTAGGCTTTGTCAAATTTTACCGTGTTCACACACCTCTTTTTATTGATAATCTCTCAGGTAATGTTTTTTGGACCACTTAGCATAATATGGAGGAGATCCCCAAAAATGGTACTGAAATCACGTATTTAAAGTGATAATCACCTACCATAAATGAATCAAGTAAGGAGACCAAAGAAGGAGTAACCACTGCACCTCTAGAGCAAAGGACGGCGTTCCATGCGACGCACCTGCTCGCATGGGTGGTCGTATGAGGTGCCAGCGCTGCTGCCTGGTCGACTACTTCCACCCCATGAAATTGGATCAGGGATCAGACGCCCAGAGAGATCAGAAACTTGTCCAGAAGGCAGAACCCTAGCCTCCGGAGATCATCCGGAGGAGGGATTGGCAAGGAGAAGAGGGCCATCTTCTCATCAAGCACAAGGGGACTACAACATCATCACCACTATCATCGTCATCAACATCATCACCACTGTCATTGCCATCATCATCCACATCCTTATGATTGTAACATCAGGAACCCTAGTGGATCATCATGTGTGTTATTTGTATCATCAACCCATGTTTGTCATCACCTTTGTCATGATGTTTGTTGTCTCCATGTGTGGTTAGACCCCTAGTTCTCGGGGATCTGGATGAACCTTGGTATGTGTAGGATCTGAATCGTTATTTTGGATATGAGATCCTCTGTTGAATGCTTAGTTTAATAACTTCATTATTGTTGTGAAGGGGCCCCACTCGGCATTTTTGCCTTATGGCCACAAAGTATATCACTGTCGTTGTAAAGGGCTAGGATGTGAAGGTAATTCGAGGTGACAGTAAAAACCTTTGCTCCTAACCTTTGCAATTGACAAGGGAGTTACGGAGAACCCTTAGAGAGGTTATGTCCATAGGGTAAACCCTTAATTTATAATGAGTTGTAACCCTATGGGGGAGACTATGATGGTGGTGTATGTGGCATGAAGTCTACCTCGAGTAGAATGTGTTCTGTGGCCGGCTCCACCCAGCATAATCGTCAAGAGGCTGAAGTATCCATACTATACTATGCCCATGCATAGGTGCACTAGAAACATATCAATGGGGATTTCGGACTTCCTGGGAACACCGTACTACTCTGTTGTTCCATCAATCACTCTAGATACTGTTCTTTATTTACTTTTATGTTATTTACTTTAAAGTTTTTTCCACTACTCAATTACAATTTATTTCCTCCCTCACTTTGCTTGAATTCCACAATTATCTGCAGGCATAAAATACATAATTCACTACAAGAGTTAAAAGTTTGATTTCCGTGCTCCCTATGGGATCAATACTCTTACTTTGAAAAATTTACAACTAAATCCTGTGCACTTGCAGGCCATCAACATCCGATGATGTGTCCACACCCCCCAGATCCTCATCGGCACCATGGGTCCAGCTCTGAAGGTCTACCTCGACAAGCTTCACTAGGATTCCAAGGAGGACACTACCAACATCATGAAGCAGCTCAATGCGCAAGCATCCCAACTCCGCAACCAGTCGTTGCAGATCGACGATCTGCATCACAAGAAGCCAGATCTGGAAGCTCGCTTCGCCAAGCTCGGGGTCATCGGTTGCTTTAGGCGACGACTCTAGGAGTGCCCCATCCTCGTTGAGTGGAATGACAACACCGCATCCGCCGCTCACCCTGCGGGAGGCATTCCACACATAAATCATCCACGATGAGAAACATCTCACCGGGGACTTCCGTTGGTGACCCCAGTGTCACTGACGGCACTCCCGGTCATGGGTATGCATCCACAACCCATCTCTCCTCTGTTCTCGCCGCCATAGGCCAGCCACCACCCTCCATGAGCATCCCCGTCTTCACTGGTGATAACCCGCAGCTCTGGAAAACACTATCCAAACAATATTTCCAAATGTGTCGTCACCGGTGATAATCCACAACTCTGGAAAACACCATGCGAACAATATTTCCAAATGTTCATAGTGCACAAATCCTACTGGGTACCTATGGTTGTTTTGAATTTTTTTGGGCCTCCTGGTATCAGGCTTCAGTCCATACAGAAACACATAGCCGATTTCATCGAGCCTTTCGAAACTCTGATGAACCACCTGATATCTTGTTCTAAGTGTACTCACCCATATATACTTTTTCCTCACTCGCTTTGTGGAGGGCCTTCAATCGGATATCCAGGCGGTGGTCTTGGTGCAACGGCCACCGAATCTTGACGCCGCATGCTCGATTTCCCTACTTCAGGAGGAAGTGGCCAATAACGAACCTGCGCATGCCATGTACCAAGCACATCATCTGCATTCAAGTGCGATGGCACGCAACAGTGTACCCTAGTTCTTTCCACAACTAACAACACCTGCACCGATTGTTGAAGACCGTCGTCGCACTAACGTCACTCGTGCTAGCACGGACAACGGCAACAAGATTGCATCTCTCGCAACTTCCATCAAGCCGAAGGGCCTTCATTTGAAATGCGGCGAACGATGGGGAAAAGACCACACCTGCCATCCTACAATCCATATGCACATCATGGAGGAGCTGCTTGCAATGTCCAGTCATGAAGAGACTCTCGGAGAAACACCACCTACATCGCCTTCCAGCGATGAATAAAATTTGTGCACAGTTTCGCGCCAAGCGATGGATGGCTCCTCTGATCTGGGCGTTCTCCAATTGCATGTCTGGATCCGGGGTCATGAAGTGCTTCTCCTGGTGGATTCAGGAAGCTCAACATCCTTTATTGACAGTAAGTTGGTAGCTAAGCTTCAGGGGGTCACACCTTTGCAAAATGCATGTCAAGTAAAAGTTGCAGACGGAGCAATTCTTGAGTGTACCACATACATACCTGCTGTTCTTCGAACACATAAGGGCAGGAGTTTGTCACTGATTTCAAGATCATCTCACTGGAAGCATATGGCATGATCATAGACATGGATTGGTTACTGTTGGAATCATTGCATGGAAAACAAAAAAATTCTACGCACACGCAATAATCTATTCATGGAGATGCATAGCAACGAGAGGAAGAGTGTGTCTACGTACCCATATAGACCGTAAGCGGAAGCGTTTCACAACGCGGTTGATGTACTCGAACTTCTTCTCACGTCAACCGATCAAGTACCAAATGCGTGGTACCCCCGTGTTCTATACACGTTCAGCTCGGTGACATCCTCTGTCTTCTTGATCCAGCAAGACGGTGAAGTAGTAGATGAGTTCCGTCAGCACGACGGCGTGGTGACGGTGATGGTGAAGTAATCTCCGCAGGGCTTCGCCTAAGCACTATGAAAATATGACCGGGAGTGTAAACGGTGGAGGGGGCGCCGCACACGGCTAACAATTGATCTGGTGTTACTAGGCGTCCCCCTCCCACATATATATAGGTGGGAGGAAGGTTCCTTTCCTTTCCCCCTTTCCTTCTCCTCCTAGGCCGGCCCATATGGGAGGCGCACCAGCCCCTTGTGGCTGGTGTGTTTTCCCTCTTGGCCCATAAGGCCCATATCTTTTGCCGGGGGTGCCCGAAACCCCTTCCGGTGACCCGATAAGTATCTGGTACCCCCGAAACACTTCAGATGTTCGAATACCATCGTCCTATATATATCAATCTTTACCTCTTGACCATTTCAAGACTCCACGTCGTGTCTGTAATCTCATCCGGGACTCCGAACTGGTTTATGTCCACTTCTGAGCCTAGGCTCAACTGCACCCGCGCTGGCAAAAAAATTCAAAACAAATACTAGAAAAATCCAATTTTTTGGGTGGCAGATAATTTGATGCGTGAGGTTCGCTTTAATTTTTAAATCATTTGAACATCTGAGCAGCTCTCCGCAAAAAAAGCCAATTCGAGGTCTGTAAAAATGTTAACTATTCACGCTTCTGACCCGATTTGTCTTTTTTGCTCAGATATCCAAATGATCTAAAAAATAGAGCGAACCTCATGCATCAAATTATCTACCACATAAAAAAAATTGGAATTTTTTGAACTTGTTTTGATTTTTTTCCTGACCGGATACAGATGAGTCTGGGCAACGAAACGTGCACTCACAATCTTCTTCCTTCATGTCTCATCTCAAGATTCTCTTTATACGGTAAGCTCTAACGCCATTATCAGGACCGGTCGCGAACGCGAGATCTGCGCAGGGGCCTGCAACCACGTTATGATCGGATGGGCGGAGTGACATCGTGCGCTAAAGATATCTTTATTCACGTACGTGTCGAACAAAACCCGTTTCTTTTTATGTATGAGAGAAGTTATTCACAGTCGGTGAAGGGAGAAGAAATGGAGTATATACGAAAGACGATTTAGGGCTCAAGTCACGAAAGCACAACATCATCTTCAACCAAACCCCACAACCATCTTCGTGTGTCCGAGCGGGTAACCGGGCAATACCCGGACAAAAAAAAAATCTCCAATGATGCTTCCGGTACCTAATCCATTTGTTCCGACTGTCCAGCAGCCCCCAAAGCCGGTCTATATGTGGGCCGGAATTGGGGCCGTCTAGACCCGTCTGCCACATCGAACACAGCACATCAGAAACACTCCAAATCCTCTCGAATCGACCCCTAGCCCCTTGCCCTAGGCATGCCCTCTTTCTTTCTGTTATGGTTGTGTCCATGCCGCGCCCTCCCCATCTTGCCCCCACCTGGAGCGTCGTGGTCCAGGCGGACAAATGGGAAGGGGGAAATGAGGGGACGTTGTTGCTCGGGCGAACAAATGAGGCTCGGTCATCTCCTGTCCGTGAACACGTCCGGAAATATCCGCAAACATATCGAGGGCCCAATTAGCCACTACAACTAGAGATGCTCTAATTGCCAAAATGCATTTTTTAATAATATATACGGTTCACAATAGAATTTCTTCTGTTCATATTGCTCGTTTTGGTGTTGCATCCTACCGTGTCTTGCACGGTCGCACGTGCGTTTGGAACCTGTAAAACTGCTGCTTTTGCCGCTGTGCGGCTTAAAGAAATGTTCAGGTGGGTTGTTTTTCCTCGGCAATCTTTTAAAATGTCCCAGGGATTTTTTTTTGATTGGTGTCATTGTAGTGCTCATCTACTAAAAATATAATAAAGTTGGAAGAGTGCTGCAATGACTTGGAAGCACCATAGCGATAGAATATGTTCTCGATAGACTTGATAAAGATATCTTACGATGCAAATGGCACCCTTTAGATGCTATTCTGTGCTGTCATTGCATAACTGGGTAACCAAAAGGTTAAAAGAAAAATAGAGAGTTGTATTGATATTGATTTTTTTTCCTGATAAATGTCGATTTTATTAACTTCAGAAATGTTAACGCCCACACGTGTGGGCGTTTGCATCTCGCCCACACGCGTGGATCCGCGTCCGTTTGTGAGCGCACGAATCTTGGCATGTTTGTAGTGCCACGTAGGACTGGTCTGATGTGTGGGCGTTTAGCCGGTCGCCCACACGACCGTTTCACCACACAGGAGGGGCTGGTGTGTGGGCGTTCAGCAGTTCGCCCACACGCCACTTTGCACGCACACACAAGGGCTAGTGTGTGGGCATTTGACATCTTGCCCACACGCCCTTCTTCTCTCCCACACCCAAGCTGCTAGTTGCCATGTATTTTTGCACTGCACATGACAACTGCCTCTAGTGTGCTTTTATAAGCAGGTGGCAACTCTCTTTTTTACCCGAGTTTGCCATGTGTTTTGCAGGATACACGACAACTGCCTAGTGTGCACGTAAGCAGATGGCAACTCTCTTTTACCGAGTTACCATATGTTTTTGCATGGTACATGGCAACTGCCCTAACGTGCATGTACATGGCAACTGCCCTAACGTGCACGTAAGCAGATGGTAACTCTTCCTTTTTACATGGCAACTGCCCTAGCATGCTTGTGAGCACATGGCAACTCTCTCAACTGCCTAGTGTTAGTATGTGACAACTCCTAAAGTTATGAAATCATGGCAACTACATTAGATCAGATCATACATGGCAACTGCAATTGAGCAACCATGGCAACTGCAGTTGTCCGACATGGCGACCGTAGTTCAGCGACATGGCAACTGCAATTAAACGAACATGGACGAGGGTCTGGACTATGGCAACTGCGGGCACGCGGTGACCGTCACGCGTGGCGTGCGGGGCCAGGAGGTACGAGGCCTGACATACGGGCGTGTGGGCGTTATCAACTTCGCCCACACACACGCGTGTGAGAGGGATCGAGAGGAAAAAAAAGAGGCGTGTGGGCGCTAATTGTTTTGCCCACACGTAAGTGTGTGGGCTGTTCCTCTTATACACCACACAAAATGTGTGGGTGAACTCTCTAACGCCCACACGTGTGGCACTTATCGGCGTCCATTAACTTTCATATTCTGAATCCCAAGTAGAAGCAGTTAGGTTCACCAACCTACCGTTGTATACTACTCGATCTGTTTAGAAATATAAGATGTTTTAATATTTTCGTGAATCAAATGTACATAGTCACGTTTTAATGTCTTTATTTATTCATTTTAATCCGAAAGAAGTTTATATTAAAATATTCAAAATATCTTATACTGTTAATAAGGGTATGGGCTACCAGTTCATGTATATGCAGCCGCGCGCGATAGATTAATGGATGAATGCTGGATATATTTCGGAATCAAATCAATCAAATAATCAGAAGAGGTACTTTGCATCAACGAATCAAGGTGCAGACGGGGATCTAAACTAGCGATGTTGATCGATGGAGTCGTAGTAGTAGCACTCACCGGTGCTTAGGGTGATGACCCATACGTACAGGAAGCTGCTGTAGGGGATGCCCGGGTTCTCGGCCTTCCTCCGGTCAATCGCGCACCCGGGGCACCCCTCCACGTACAACACGCCGCCGGCCTTCTTCTCCAGCAACGGCACTGACGACTCTGCTGCCGCCTCATGCTGTCGCAGCCCGTCGTGATATTGCTCCTCCATATTCACGATGCTCACTGGCCGCCGTGTAGTGATGCAAGGGCAAGGGCTACCTACCAGCTGCCTCTCCTAGGGGCCGGCGGGGGACTAGTTCTCTCGTCGCAGTGCTGGGAACCCAACACTGGTTTCTTATATAAACTGCACGTGCTCGGGGTGGGTGGGAAAGAGGTTGGTTGATGTTTGTTTTTTGGGGGATTTCCTTTCTAGGTTAAAGAAGGTTGATTGACGTTTCCATAACTAGCGTGACATCATTTCCAAAAATCTTTGAACAATCATGGGGGAGAGTCCACCCATGAATGCATTACTCAAAAGGACCACGAGTGGCGAGATTAAAAGGTTGTGTAGTGCTTGGAGAGAGGTATTGGTGTTATGACAAGGCGTCCACCTTCTGATGTTTTACCCTAAGGCGATCAGTTCAGAGAGTGAAGTCGGAAATAACGTTCCTAATGATTACAATGAGTGCGTAGAACTGGTTCTAAAAACGTGGGTGTTGGCGGGATCAAGGTGGGGGGTTCTCTATTGTCCTTCCCAGGGAAGCCATCTTATGAGCATAATTGGTTTGCTACCAATATTTAGCTAGCCAAATGTTGGCATTGCCAAATAATGGAAATACTATGACTTGTAAATATTGGCAACTTTATGTGAGTTGGACAAGGCAACTTGGTAACTAACCAATTAGTAGCCAATATTTGGCACAATGTCAAATATTGGGATGCCAATTTTTGACACCAAACCAATTATGCTTGACGCGTCATAGGACCAACTCTGCGGGCCCGGAGGGGGTCTCGAGGGAGGGGGTGTGTGTCTTCAGGCCACACCTTCTTCTTGGGGAAGGGTCTCCTCCCCACCTTTGCACGTCCAATCACCCCCGAGGACCAAAAGTTGACATGACTAGAGAAGGCCATACCGTGGCATGGGCAACGTTTGGATGTATGTTAGAAGTCCTTTGTGAGAGGACGCGAGGAGTACGGTCTCGAAGGGGCCAGGTGACCCCGTGGCTGCCTATGTCACGGCATGGTGGGCCTAGCCAAAATATATAAGAGACTGAGAGAGGCTCTTGCAAGGGGAGGAGATTTATTCGACATATACAAAGAACACTGAGGTAGGAGTAGGGTGTTACACCGTCACCGGTGGCCTAAACTCATCGGGGGATGATAACCCACAAGTATAGGGGATCAATTGTAGCCTTTTTCAATAAGTAGGAGTGTCGAACCCAACAAGGAGCTAAAGGTAGAACAAATATTCCCTCAAGTTCTATCGACACTAGTGCAGAACCGGGCAATAGCACCGGTTCGTAAGGCCCTTTAGTGCCGGTTTCGTAACCGGCACTAAAGTGTAGGCACTAAACCCCCCCCCCCTTAGTACCGGTTCATCACGAACCGGTGCTAAAGGGCAACCACGTGGCACGAGCCAGCTTCGGGGGTAGGGAGCCCTTTAGTACCGGTTGGTGTCACCAACCGGTATTAAAAGGTTGGGGCGGTTTTGGGTTTATGATTTCTTTTTCATTTAATTTTGTGTTTTCCATTTAATTCTTTTTCGTTTGCTGGTATTTTACGATACTACATATTGTACACATTATGCATATATATAAATAGAATTTCTAGTAGAACCGGTCATAATATATATATATAGTATATATATAGTGGCATTAGCCTTCTATATATACAATTTCTCCTAATATATATACAATTTCTCCTAATTGGTGCCTTCGGAGCCAGTGGCATTAGCCTAATTGGTGCATTCGGAGCACGATAACAATTGGAAGTGGTTCATGGGGGCGGTAGCGGGTAATAGTATTCTCCTTTGGGATCTATGACCTGGTCGAGCAAAAATCCCGCTATTTCCTCTTGAATTGCTTGTATGCGCTCCTCTGTTAGGAGCTTCTCCCGCACCTCTTTGAACTGTTAGGAAGGAGATCAATATGCATGTGTATTAGTTGTGTGACTAGATATCGATAATGGTGTAAAAATTGTGAATAGTGTTCTGACAAACGTACCCACTCCTGTCTTTGAGATTTGCTCTTTTCGGACGCCATCATGCGAATGTTCTCGCAAACGTAGTATGCACACAGATTATTCTCCGGCGCCTGCTTCAGGGCCTTTACGAGAATGAAATTTGATCAGATAATAATTAATCAAGCATGATAATTAAAGAGATGGCAGCTAACTAGTACTACTTAATTACTTACCTGGGGTCGATACCATTTTAGATTTTGGTTCCATGGGCCTGGAGTGACCCTGATGAACTTTGCCCAAGCCCTGCCCGCCGACAAAGAAAATGAATAAATGAGTTATTAAATAGTTTTTATCAGGAAATGACGAACTAATTAAATAGGCCAAGATATAGTTAATAATGATTGAAATTACCTATTGACTATCCCCTTCACGATGGTGTAGTCACTTTCTTTCTTAAATAGTGAGTCTAGTATTTCAATTGTTCCTTCATCAACTTTAATGATTAACAAGATCCAGTGAAATCTGCATGCACACGCGTTTGCATGTCTTAATTAAGCGGGCATATGTAAGCAAAAACATGTAGCTAGCTAGTAGGCAAAAATAGAATTTATAGTACAAGACAGTGTGACTCACTCAAAGTTGTAAGGAAGTAGTATATCTTCATTGTATTTGAGGCGCTTGAAGAACTCTAGCATGCTTTCCTCTACACTTTTTTCGTAATATGGATCTAATTTCCATGTGTATTCATTAATGGTATTTGGGTCAACAAACCCAATGCCATAGCGTCCACCTTTTTTCATTTCATAAATCTTCATCCTGCATAATACCACAGAAAAGAATATAGTGAGGATAATTACAGGTAATGATTGATCAAAATGATCACTATAGCTAGCTTGAGAGTTAAATTACAGAAAGAAATCACTTACAGACAATAGCAACTGACGATAGATTTGTCGAGTGCGTCTTGATTGTATAGCTGAAACAGTTCTGAATACTCAACGGTCAGAGCTTTCTCATGGTAGTAATGCTCCTACTTGACATTCACCATGAGGGACTCTCGATTGGAAATCTTGGTAATGTCCATGTACCATCAATGCAATTCATACATTCTCGTTGGGAGGTTCTTGACCTCGTCTGGCTCGACCAAAGATTGGCCCCGGACATATTTCCGTTTTATTTCCTCCTCTCTAGTCGGAGACATGGGCTCGATATCGAGGAGTTGTCCAATAGTGATCCCGATCACTTCAGCCTGCGAAATATGCTCCTCGGTTATTACCACATCGCCCACCCCGGGAACGTTAACGGTTTGCCCACAATAATATTGGGCGCGCCTACTCTCATGTGTTGTTGGCACAACAAGCGGGGGGGGGGGGATTGATTGCGCCACCTGTTCTCCCAGCTGGGGAACGGTTTTACCACTCCTTTTGCCAGCTGATTTGCTCGAGCTCGAGCTCGCCTCTTTCTGTAGACATGCTCGATTTAACTTCTTGATGTGGCGCTCATAGTCTGTGTCAACAGGCTTGGGAGCTGGTGCTCTAGACATACGAATGAAGTGGTCAATCTTTTCCACAGGCACTTTCTCCCTTGGCGCGATGGTGGTTTTAGTGCAAAATGGGCTTCCACCTCGGCCTTCGATATGGCTACGTTTTCCTCCTCGGACTTGTCGTAAGGCCTCTGCGGAAGAGGCGCGAGGCTTGGACCATATTGAAATCGCTTGCCTCCGCCTGTACCTCCAGTACTACCTCGACTTGTACCGCTACGCACCATAGTTGAGGCGGCTCTCTTCCGTGATTGCTGAGGTGGCGAAGACGACTGATGTGGCTGAGTTGGAGGAGGAGGAGTGGCCTGAAGCTGTGCCGGAATTGGAGGAGGAGTGGCCTGACGCTTTGCCGGACTTGGAGGAGGAGGAGTGGCCTGAAGCTGTGCTGTACTTAGAGGAGGAGTGGCCTGACGCGTTGGTGGACTTGGAGGAGCGGGAGTCTGCTGACTCGGTGGCGGACTTCGACGGGGAGTCAGATGACGCGGTGTCGGTGGCCTTCGAAAGATGATGCAATTCTTTCTCCATAGGATGATACGATGGTTGGCCTCTCCCAGTGTGTTCTCATCATCACCTCCAAGAATGTCAAGCTCTAGCCCCGAATATTGCTCCACCACCTCATCAACCAAGACACGAGCATAGCCCGCTGGAATCGGGTTGCAATGGAAGGTTGCCTCGGGGGGATTTGTAAAAGCAAGGGCGTCCGCCACCTTCATGGATATGTTCTTCATTTTGAAGTGTAGCTCGCAGTTAGTGTTCTCCATGATGTCATCCACTGGGTAGCTATCCAGCAATGCGTCGCCCGGGGCGGAACCCACGCTGCTTCTCGGCATGGATGGGACGGTGCTATCCAATGGTGGATCATCCGCTAGCTGCTGAGATCCCCTTTGCTGGCTAAGTGAGTCGATCTGCTCCTGCTGCCGCTGGAATTTGACTGCCAAGTCCGCGTGCGCTGATTCTAGGCCTTGAAGGCGTTCATAGTCTAGCTTCCTCTGCTCCTCCTCCATCTTCCTCTTCTTCTCCTCCGCAATCTTCTTTCTCGCGCGGGTTCTGTAGTTGGCGTTCCAGTCCAAAAACCCCTCATACCACGGCATAGCGCCCATGCCTCGTGTTCTTCCCGGGTGTTCAGGATTTCTCAGGGCACGCGTAAGCTCGTCATTCTCTCTATTGGGCTCGAACACCCCCGATCGAGCCTCTTCTATTGCAACAAGTAGCTTATCTTCGGCTCCGTCCAGACATGCCTTCTTCAAAACTTTGCCTGTCTTTGGGTCCAACTCCCCCCCATGCGCATAGAACCAAGTCCTGCACCTGGGGGGGCAGCTCAATGTTTCTGGAGTGACACCTGCATCCAACATCTCTTTCTCAGACTTATCCCACTTAGGCATTCCCACCGCATAGCCACCTGGCCCCAGCTTATGGAATTTATCCTTTTTTGCGGCATTGGCCTTGTTTATTCTCGACCGTTCCTTAGATAATTCCGAATCCTTGAATTTCACGAAATCGTCCCAATG